AGAAGTCGCAGAAGGTGCACATCTATGCAAACCTTTCTCCATGAGCAGGCGTCGTTTCCTTGGACTGTTTGACGGTCAGGAGCCGCTTGATGTCGCGATTGCTTGGGTTTCAGACAGTCTTATGACTACGCCTTTGAACCTAGTCCGCTAGTTCTCCGACCTTTCTCTTTCTTGCTCTCCTAAGGCTTCCTCGATAGTAGCCCATATCCTACACCTGTTCCAAAGTCCGTCAGGCACGTCAAGTAGACGCTCGTCACATCCACTGACCCGAAAGCGTTTCTTCGCAAGAAGCTTCGCGGCAAACTTCCAGTCCCAGCAAGCAGTAGGGTCCAGAAGTGCTGCATGTGGAGTAGTAAGATGCTGCTCGATCCACTTGGTGTCCAGATCCCAAACATGCGGATGTAGACTTCCGTCCCGGAGGCTGTCTCGCCAGAAAGCGGAATCGAGTGGTATCTGCAGAGCCAGCATCTTTGAGGTACAATGTAGTGCTATGACATACTGTATTGGAAGGTAGCTGCACACCACATCCAATAATTCCGTCGGCAGGCGCTCCAATCTTTGGGGTTCGCGCGTTGCTTTTGGCGTACACTTGGATTCGTCTCTACGACGCGGCGAAGTCTGCAATACTTTATGTACGAAAGAGGCGATATCTCCCACTTCGATGGGATCGGTGTAGAACTTCTGTGAATCATTAATGGCGAGCTTGAAGAACATATTGTGGTTACCTACATCATACTTTGCGCCCCACCATTCTAGCCTGCTCAGAGCCAATGCGCTCCTAGGTCCATAATCGCATGAAGAAGAACAAAGATCGAAAATGTCGTTTGATGTCTCGAGTGGCTCGTCTATACGGCATTTTCGTCGAATGAAACGCGCACTCAACAGTCGATACAGCAGTTTAAGAGCAGATGTCGGCACAGTATCCTTCCTTCTGGAGTCGAAGTGGTCGATGGCTCGACAACTGATCGCAATACACGATTCATGTAATGGAAACAAGGTTCGGTAATCCGGTGCATAACACAAAGCGTCGAGCCAGATATCATCTTGGCCAGCGTCGCCAACAATTCGAAAGTAGCCCGATCCAGCCATGTTGAAGGACGCAATCTCGGAGAGGAAGATGCCTGGTATCTCAGATACGTTGGTCGGCCTTGTCCGGACTTTAGCGCGTGAAGATAGATGAGAGCCGCTTCTTACGTCGATCCTTCGCTAGCTACCGTATGTTCAGCTACATCTTCGATGCTACCAAGAAGACGAAGGCTGTATAGCCACTGGAATGCGCGAAATGTCAGCAGTCTGTAACGCTTGTTTGAGAACAGATAGTTTACCTGGAACCGCATGTCTTTTGGGTCGATATTGTAAACATCGCCTTCGACATCGAAAGGACCACCACATATAACGCAGAATCTTGAATCCTCCATGGCGCATCGCGCATCGCTCTTCCAGTCATCCGCGACCTTCGAAGAAAGTAGACTACCCATGTTGATACTGCGCGATGAGATAGCAGCTGGCAGAGAACCAGCGGTGACGGCGGTTGTTGATCCGCAAGATGAGAACGCCCCGTCCCGTCCACCTAATTTAGTCTGACAGGAGGCGCATCCGCATCAAACGCAATATCCAGATGAACAAATGTCGGCAAGACGATTGTGAGACGCCAAACTGAGTGAGCGACGCTGGATAGGCTGATTGCGGTAAATCGATGACGGTAGTTCATTCCACCGTAACCTAACTAGGTATAGCGTTTCCACAACTTCTGAACCGGGCTGCGACAGCTGAGTCTTGGTGATTTTATCCTACAAATAGCGTCGCATTTGTCATGTCTGCCATCATGTTGATGCATGCGATTGGACTAGTTTCGCAACGAGGACATGTATAGTTACAAAATATGTCGTGTGCACGGAATTCCGCACATTTCGCAACAAGCGCATCATTTGTAGCGGAACACCGATCGTCATGCGATATCTGATTGTGCCTTACAGAGTCTCTACAAGATCTTCCCACTCGGCATCCAGCATGTACCCGTGTCCAAGGTCTTCTTCACTAGATGATGAGTAAACCAAATCTGGATCGCCTTCTGATGCTAGGTAAGTGCTGACCCCTGTCAACTCACGCAACCACCGATCGATTCTTGGTTGTGAGTTGTCTGCTTCAGAACAGGGTCCCTCGCCTGGCTTCAGTACATATGCGTGTCCCTCCCAATGTATACGAGGCATTTCACTGCTTGGACGCCAGCCATGAAATGTGGTTTTGATGGGCCCAGATGCCTCTGCAGCACTCCCAACTTTGATGTTAATCCGGTCATCTTCATCGAGACCGTTCACACTCGACCAATCGCTCATGTTCGATTGATCGTTTGAATTAGACTGAGCGACCATGCCCGGTTGATCATCCGAACCAAACTGATTACCAACGCCCGGTTGGTCGACCGAATCAGACTGATTGTCCATGCTCGATCGATCGTCCGTATCAGACTCACTGTCCATGTACGACTCGTAGTCGGTACCAGATGGGGCTCCCATGTCTATTTCATTTTCCATAGTTGCTTGGTAGTCCTCCATGTACGAGTAAAACTCCATCTTCATTAGGCCCCTGAAACCTTCGTCGTAAATGGCGATGACCAAAGCTTTCAGCTCAGGTAGGGCCTGCCTTTGAGATGATACCAAATCGTGAAGTTGATGGCTATCAGGCGTCGTTTCGCGATGGGTGGGATGGAGTGACAAAAACTCCAAGACTGGAGGTAGCCGCCAGCACCAACGATCTTGCTCCAATATCTTGCACTCGTAGTTTATGTTCATACCGGGCTGATACTTGTGCAAGATTGCTCCAACGTCCAACATCCTCCACACGTCCACATTTGTGTCCAGTCGCCTCAAGGCAGTGAAGTGTCTTAGCGATTCGATTAGATGGCTGGAGTCACTATCTTCTTCTTGCGGAGTCATCCAACTGGGTACGATGTCCAGATACAAGTCTCCCAGGGTGTTTTTGAATGAGTCAAGCATGGTGATAAGCTCGCTTGCTGTGAAGTTGTAACGGCCCATAGCTAATCCGTATGAAAAGTATAGCCGCTTTAAACGAGGGGACGCTGAGAGGAGCTTTTGCATCTCCACGCACGTGAAAGCGCAATTCGGAAGATGAAGAGCAGTGAGCGCCCCGAGACCAAGAGGTAGAGCAATTGGCGGCGATTCAAGGAGGTCATCCCCAGCTTGATACCAACAGCTCCCTCTGGCCAACTCTAAGGTTTGGAGCGAAGTGTTGTCCATTATCTAGTTTAATAGGACGCAGACCATGGTACAGCCCTATCATTGGCGGCGGTAAGCCTGACCAGCTTTTTGAATCCATGCTTAGGCAAACGCCAAGGTAGTATGGTTTGGTCTGGGTTCATGAGAATGGTGTGCAGCTCAAGTACTCGAAGATTTGGGAGAAGGGCCAGAACGAGTGCGACCAGTGCATCTTCATGCCCAGCACGCAGAATCTGGCAGAACATAAGATCATAAGGAGGCCACCCAGCACCCTGGCTTTTCTTCATGAGAAGCTCTGTGTACCAATCTCGCTCACGCCAATTTGAAACCAAAGCTCCCTTTGAGGTAACTTCCGCGGCTTCATATGGGACGATGATGTCGATGACATTTGCGGCCTTTGCAGCTTTCGTATACGCGTCGTACAATTCTTCGGATATGATCTCTGGACGGGGTCCGGCGAGCTCAGAGTCCCAGAAACCCAGCTTCATCTTCCTGACATATTTTTCCGCAATATCGGGCCTTGCAAGGATGCGGTCGATGAACATGGAAAGCGATTTCCCGTGAGGCTGTATGTATTCTCGGTAGAGTGACGATTCCGCGTGCTTCTGAAGTTCTTTACATGTCAGGCTCAAGTTGAGGAGATCAATATGTGGAAGGAGCGCCGTGATGTGCTGAGCCAGTTCGGCTGGTAATGCAACAAAAAAGGACGACATGTCTGAGAGAGAGAGAGAGAGCTCCGGTCGTGCTCAGAGTCGCTGGCTGGTTACTGCTCGATGCAGCATGCGGATGCTAAAACAAAGTATTGATGTGGCACGACGTGAAAGTTGGGTGAGGTAGCGAGCGGCGCCCCCAAGATCCGAGGCCGGCTTGCAGGCAGCCCACCCTTGGCCCGCGCACTTCAGCCCGGTTATTGCGCTCTCATGGTAGGCCAAAGACATGCCATCGCCATTAACCCTAGTCCAGCTCATATTCAGTATGCAGCCGTTTCGTCAGCAGGAAAGAGATGGTGCAGATGGAGGTTGCACTGGTGGCCGAAAATACAATTCACGACCAGCCCACTCGCTCCGGGCATAACCACCACGTCTTGACGCATATTGGTGTTGCGCCGGTCAAGTCGGATGGTCATCGCCTATGCTGCGAGTTCGCGCATTGTTGGACTAAGAGGATCATGTATCACGAAGCAAGATAGCAGAGTGCAATGCCACGGTGGTAGATGCGGGGAAAGCGAGCACAACATAAAGCTGAGATCGAGGACGATCGTGAATGATATCCACACGCAAGCATGGATTGAAAATTTGTTCTATACTGGCCACTGTCTCGCGACATGTCCAAAGACTGCCCATGATGCTGCCACAGCTGTCGGTGACGTGTTGCTGCCGCTGACCTTGGAAAGACTGGTGCGTGCTAGCGTGGCATTCTCGCGTCACAGGGGGCGGGCAGCACTTCACGTCGTCAAACCTCCGCTTGTCACTCTTCTCAGGCCGACAGTCAGGTCACCATATCAAAATACACCTTGAGTGTTCGCTTTTCACGTTGTATTTTCCTTCTTCTATTTTCTATTGTGCATGCTCAGCACCCTTACGCGTGTCTGCCAAGCCCAGCATCGTCCACCACCGGGAAGCAACCCTTGACCGAAAATGTGGCCTGTGTCTCGACGTGAGGGCGGCAGTCCAACACTGTTCAATGATGCGAAAGGCTGACCGGGGCGACGGCTTGAGCAAGCCAAATGCTCCTATCGCACGGCTTTGTAGTCGCAACGCAACCTCAGATCCATTTCTCGAGACTCCGACGGTCGTCAGGCTCATGCCTGCCATGGTATTCCTCATGGTATCGTGTATCGCCTCCTGCAGTCCTGCTCTGAACACCCTGGCCAGAATTCGCCCCATCAAGCATATCTAGCTCAAAAGGAACGCCATGTGCACCTCTGCTCTTGTCCGCACCAACCCACCCACCGACTGGAGTTCCTTTGCGCTCTTCTCGACGCGGGAATAGATTTGTGTTGTACGTCTGCAACCTAGCGCCAGCAGGACTCATCGTTCTATTCTGCCCTGGGAGCATCGGTACGGGAGGCGGCAGAGTTAGATCTTCTGCTGAGCTATCACGAGAGTTACCCTTGAGCACGGAGCGAATATTTTCTTTCGAAACGATGCACGTAACGCTGCGATCAGACTCATCGCGCAATAGCCGTTGAGGACGAGCGCTGCTGGCCAGCCCACGTGTACTGTTCCATCGCTCGGGGTTTCTGGATGACACGGACGGAACGGTATGCTCCATTCCGGGCCATGGTACTGCTCTGGGCGGAGAAGTACCCGGCCACGCAAGAGGGTTTGGTGTCGCCTTGCGATGGATGTCGTTCGACGCGATACGCAGATCGCCGGTATATGCAGTTGGCTTAATAGGCACAGGAAGCCTCGTGACTGGCTTTGAGGGCTGAACGCGTTGCGGATCTCTCGCAGTGTCCTCGCGTACAGTTTTGAGCTTTGTCAACGAGATCTCGTCGTCCCAACCACTGCCCTCGTAGCTTAGAACCCGTGTATCCGGGTGTGCTCTTCCCTTTTCGATCGTTGGCGCGACCCGCATCTCAGGCTGGTACTTGTGGTGCAGTGGCTGTGGTATAGCACTCAACTGGCCCATGGGCGAATATATCGATTCGTCCGTGTCGTCGCACATTTGCATGCGCTGATGGCTATCGGGAAGGATGAGAGTGTCTGAGTTATGGGTTGACGTGTAGACACTCTGGTCAGATGGCTTGCGCACTGTATCAGGACGGGGCCATGGCGTGATGATAGTGGTATCCGTTGAGGCGCCACTCACATGCCTCTCGGTTGACGAGGGCTCGGAAGGGCGATAAGCTGGTGTTTCATCAGGTAGATGGGTCTGTCGTGTTACACCATGCAGCGGACTCTTCGGCTCCTCCTTCGACGCCATTCTGGACATGCCTCGAGACAGCGAGCGGCGGATGCTATCTGAGTAACGTCTGATCGGGCTCTCGCTGCCATCCTGGTCTTGTCTGCTGTGGTCCTTATCGAGAGAGCTGCTCTTTCCTGGGCTCCGGCTACCGTCACGCTTTAGCACCTGGGGCTGGAAGGCCCTCACTTCGCCCGTCTTCTCTGCGGCCTTCCTGCGTTCTGCTCGGGCTCGCTGTTCATTCAACCACTCCTCCATCTTATGTTTGAACTTGGGCCGTTCAACCAAACCGCCATACTGAGGGTACACATCGCGAAGCTCCTTCTCGGCCTCGTCGTACTGCTTTCGCGTGAACACTCCAGCACCGTCAACACGCTTGTGGAATGTTGCGCCTTCATCACTGACGACCTTCTTCGGCAAGGAGATTATGCGGTACGGCGTGGGCGACATCAGGCTTCCTCCAGGTACCAAGACGTTGTCCTTGGGAAAAGCGAGACCAGATGGGCACCGCTCTTCAATGTAAAGCGCGAGGCGACCGTAGTGTCGTCGGCCCTTGACACTGTAAGAAGTGCGAACAGCATTGACGATCGGCACAAAGACTACTTCCCAGGCTGTGCAGATGTTGCGGAGCTCGAAGTAGTCAATGTTCCACGGATTGCGCGACTTGCCGACCTTGAATACCTGCAGCAACCAGGCGAAGAGGTGTTTCTCGTACGCCTCCACAGTCCAATCACTCTTGTCGATCACTCCATGCACGCTGGAGTCTGATGTGTACTCCGCGCTGTACTTGTCGGCGCGTGGGTCATAACGGTGTACACCTTCGTCGAATCGTGTATAAAACCACAACAGGTCTGTGCGAGACACACCGTCCTCCCCCTCCTCTCTGGCTATCGCCGTTACACGTGGTACCGCCTCCGGTTGACGCAGGAATATCGAATCGCGGAATACGGCCCATGGCTCTAGAAACGCAGCGGTCGCGAGAAAGCGCTCTTCGAGGCTGTCCAAGTTGGGGAGTTGCAGTAGTGACAGTGCTTGTTTGAGCTCAGGTGAGATCTTTTCCTTCTCGCTGCGTGTAAAGAAGTCGCGCATGTTCTTGAGTCCTGAATTGGTAGGAGAGTGCGCCATCTTGGCTGAGTCGTGGGCGCAACGATTGCGGCTTTGGTTTGTGCGTAAGGTTTGGGCTGTTGTTGTTGAGTGGCAGGTCACAATATCGCTAGCGCTGTTCTTTTTTTGCGCCTCGGTGAATGCAGATTTATCTAGGCGGCAAGATTACAACATCTGACTCTGGAACGCAAGGCTGCGGTCTCACCTTCACTAGGATCCCGAAAGTCCGCCGCCACACGCTCCGCATCTGTCGGAACTGGTGGCCAACGAACCTTCGAGTGGTAAGATGCATTCGGTCGTGTAGCAGTGATGCCAATATCGAAGACTTCTGATTCGTGCCATGCCACTACGGGCTAGCATTCATTTCCATAGTTGCTGCATCGACGACGACCCAAAGCTCCGTTGTTGCGCCAAGCCGAGCTAGCCGGTCATACCTTCCATCATCATAGACTGCGAATCTCTGGTATCCTTTTCTCTTATCTGATACCTCTGGAACTCGGACTCACTGAAAGCAGCACCTCGACGATCACAGCCATGCTTTACAGTAGTTTCGTGATCCCCTTCCTGGTTTGCGACGCGCTCGCTGCGGTAGTCCCCAAGCTGGACCATTTTTCGAGCCTGCCATGGTCCCCAGATCAATCTTGCATCATTCCACCCATTACTGATGAGCAAGTCGAAGCTCAACTGGCCGCTCATGCTACGGATATCACGGATACCGCAGAGACCACAAACGGTCAGGATACAACTCAGTATGGCGGTGCTTCACTGTTCAACTATATCAATTGGGGCGGTCCACAGAAATGGACCGACATCGTTTCCCCAGGTAGATCATTGGTTGCTTACTGCTTCTATTCTGAGACGGACCGTGCCAGGCTACTTGAGCGCGTCGAAGCAGCTGTAGCCCCCTGGAAAGCTGCTCTAGGCGGAGAGCGTGGTAGAGACAACGGGCATGATCTTCAATTCAACGAATGGTATGACTACAAGGCGTCCAAGCATCACTTGTGCTATGATCCGAACCCCGAAAACAAACAACAGTGGAACCCTTCGTTGCCGACTACAACGTTAGTTATCAGTCTGTCAGAGAAGATGACCAACGGAGCTTACGCGAATATGGGGGCTGGCAGCGCGGCTGATAGAGGCAAACCCTGGAAACTCCGCTTGTCAATCGGCCCAGAGACGGCTGCCCTGGTCGTCGCGCACGAGATCGGTCATGTGCTCGGTATGTCTCAAACAAACAAATATCATGATCATTACTGACAGTTCAAGGCATGGGTCACGAACACCAGCGCACAGACCGCGACAAACACGTTGAGTTCGATTGCAAAAAGTTGAAAGGCTACTCGGACGCGCTCGCTCGGGCCCGAAAGGCTCTCCCGCAATTCAAGGACCACCAGCTATGTCTGTTCGCAGACTACTCCAAGAAGTTTCAATTCCCCGCTGTCCACTATACCATGTCCGTGGCTTATGGTAGCCCTGCCCAGTACTGGTGGATGAAAGCTGATACCGAGTACGACGTGGACTCTATTATGTCGTATAGCAGCTTCCAGCATGCCAACGAAAAGTGCGCCGAGGGAGGCCACCCGGAAGAATGCCCATTGAGGAGGTGGAAGGTGCCTGGAGATAAATCGCAAGGAATAGCGTACATCGAAGATGCTGAAAAGCCGAGTCCAGGCGACGTCCGCTGGGTCCGCACCAATTACCCATACCAGGGACCCCATATCGACTCAGTCGAGAATGCGGGCATACAAGATGAGAATGAGGAAGCCTCAGATGAAGACTTTAATCGAAATCCATACATTGAGCGAGGTAAGGTGACTGGCGAAGATCCCAGGGTTCTAAGAAAGTTGGATCGTCAACGGGCGAAGCTGGCAGAGGAAGAGAAGGCTGCCAGAGATGTTGCCAGTGCTGCTATTTGATGCAGTTGCTCAAATAGTCCGAGAAAGTCCGGGGCGCCACAAAGGCCCTGCATCCGAGGCTTGAGCGTCCGGCGAGTGTTTTCCAGCAGCGATGCTCTTTCACCAGAATGAGCATTGTGACTCAAATGCGTAATTGGCCGATGCGCGTTGCAGTCGGATTGCCCCTTGTGATCACGAGTACATAACTGGCTGCCCAGGTGCACTTACCTTAGAGACTCCCTTACACTTCCTATTTCCAGCATTCCTTTGCTCTTATCAACTGTTTCTAGTACCATCATGAGATACCTTCCGGTCTTTGCGGCGGCTGCCATTCAGGCGATAGCGGCGTCTGTTCCCCCAATATCCCCTATCTTCTCAGGCCCATGCGCTATCCTACCTCCGTCTAACAACACCGAAACTCCAACCTATGATGTGATGCAATCTGGCGCTACATCTCTCTGGGGTCACGGAGGCGGTGGTGGCCCCAAGAAGTGGACGGAGCTCTACATCAAGGGCATTACGTTGATACCGTACTGCTTTCCGACAGAAGAACATCGCAAAGCAAATGTTGAGAAATTAGAAGCAGCTATCAAATTGTGGATGACAGCTCTCGGCGGCGGACCGTCGCCGGGTACAAACCACAAGATCATCTTCTCGGAGTATGTTGACTTCTCACAGAACCCAAGGTACTGCATAGATGTCAATAGTCCAGCTGAGAGCAAATGGAACATGGCTGTACCATACAAGACAGTCGCCATATGGAAGGACGATGGCGTGGGCAAAGCCGCGGCCGCATCCACTGTGGGCATGGGTGATACGCCGGGAAAGCCTTGGGATCTGAACATGTGGATAGACGTAGAGGCCAGCGTCACAACTGTAGCACACGAACTTGGACATGTCATGGGTACGTTGGACATTACCCGCGATCTCGAATGTTACAAGATTGACAAACAAAAGGAATGATGCACGAGCAGCAACGCTCAGACCGTGATAGGTACATCCATTACGACTGCACAAAGCTCACCGACTACCGCACCGCCCTCGCACGCGCGCGTGAATCCGACCCAAGCACGACGACCGACGAGCTATGCAACGACGTTACAATTGCTGATAGTTACAACTTCAGCGGCCGCTCCTACACTGATACTGTTCTGTACGGGAAATCCGAGGATGGCTGGACACTGAACCCCGATTCACCGTACGATGCGGATAGCATCATGCATTACCACAGCTACATCATGGGTAATGAGAATTGTCTAAATGGCAACCAGGCGGAGTGCCCAGTAGCGCGTTACAGGGACAGTACGAATCATGATCTCGGATATGAGATGATTCCTATGTGGTCCAGGCCGAGTTCGTGGGATGTTGCGTGGGTCAAGACGCAGTATGGGTGGAGGTACAGCGGTGCCGGAGAAGGCGCGCAGGATGGCGGAGGGTTTAGTGAGGCTCGTTTGGAAGAGCTCATCGAGCAGGGGCGGGAACAATATGTTCAGAGCCAGGCATAGGTAACAGCCGTAAGTGTCGCCGGAGCACCATGCAGTGAATCAACCTTCATATGTAGCACTTGAGCCCTTTTGTGAATTCCGCCAACCTACATACATGTGAAGTACGGCGGGAGAGCCTCGATTACAACCTCACTTTGGTAAGCCTAGTCTTTCTTCTTTGTGGGCGAATACATTCTCATATGTGTTGCTTCGGGTGAACTGATAAGCGGCTTAATGCGTTTGAGTTCTGGCAGCCTAACGGATGGCTACCATGGTATGGCAGTAGCGCGCTTACACGTATATTGGTCACTGTCACGGGGGCGGTGGGCGAGCGGCATCAAAGATTTCGCGTGCGTGCATTGCTCGCTCACCTTCGCCTCGTCTATCTAGCCTTTCGCACAACCGACTTCATAATCCACAAGAATACGCACAACTTCCTCTCAGGATATTCCACGGAGTTTCGCCGCACAATCAAGATGGATCGATCAAGACAACCGCTCCAACAGCCGCACCGCGATCTGTTCCTGTGTAAGTTTTTTAAGACTAAGCATCTGGATCAAAACGCATTGAAGCAGACATCATGCGCGCGCTTCTCATAGTCACCCACAGCGATTGGCTGACAAATGCATAGCTTCGTCCAAAAAGCGCAAGATCGAAGATCCTGCAGCTGCCACAGACAGGATGCGACAACGTCATCGAGAAGAGGCAACAGAGATGGCGCGACTGACCAACGAACTGGCGGCTCTGAAACGCGATATGCTACCCATAGCACAGCTCAACCACACTATCGCAAAACAAGCTGAAGAGCTCGTCACGCTCAAAGAACAGAACCGGAAGTGGAAGGAGGAGCATGCTAGGCAGGGAGAACAAGCTAGGGAGATGAGAAAAGTGGCCGACAACGCTAGGAATGAAACAAACGTCGTGAGAGGTCGTCTGGAAATGATGAGCAGAGCTCATAGCGAGCTATACCGGGACATTGATTGGCAAAAGAGCAAGAGACGCCAGGCGGAAAAGCAGCTACAGGAGTACTTAGCCGCGCAGAAGGCTATCGCTGAGAAGTACGGTTCTGCAACAAAGTTATTGAGGTAGAAGGCAAGTCACCGGCAAAGGTTTTGGAGTCACGGATGGAGCGGACGTTGGATACGATTGGAACATTGCCGTAACCCCAGGAAACGTTCCCTACCTACGATCAACCTTTCAGGCGTAGCTTTGTCTGGGCTTAGTATGAACAAAGAACGGTGCATTTGATGATGAGTCTATCAGCAAACTGTCGAGATATATAGCTCAGCTTGTGGAAATCGACAATAGAATCGCTCCCGACTTTGACTAGGTACAAGAATGGACCTTACTTCCACCACTAACGCGACGGCGACCCCAATTTCCGATGATTTGAGCGCGCCCATTGGCACCGAAGGCAGCGAGAGCCGACAGAACGGCGAAGTTGAGACCACTCTAGCTACCAATCTTACGGATCTGATCGATCTTACCGATGAAGAATTTAACATTGCTGACGGCTTCCCAAAGAATATGACGCTCGAAATCGGCGGCCGCATGTTCAAAGTCGCGCGCAATACACTGGAGTCAGAGTCAGGTCTTTTCCGAAGCCAGTTCTCCAACCTCTTCACTTGGACGCCCGAACCAGACGGCTCGTACTTCCTAGATGCCGATCCTGACCTTTTCGAGCACCTCCTCCGCTATATGCGTCGTCCTGAGGTATTCCCGCTGTTTTACAGCGTGATGAATGGCTTCGACTATGACTTGTACAATCGCTTGCAAGCTGAAGCGCTGTACTTTCAGATGAAGAAGCTGTATGAGTGGATTGAAGCAAAGGTACTGGGTATTATATGATCCTCTACGCTTGATACTGACATGCAGCTAGAAGTACCTCGCCGCTCTTAAAGTTCAAACAACAAATCCGAAAGTCCGCGATTTTGCAAGCATCGGCTTGATGCATCCCGAGATCCTTCCCGTAAGTAAGACTGAGGAGTGGTGCGTTGTTCCACGAACTGAGCAAGTGTATCTCTGCCCACGTCGAATACGGCCTCACAGAGGTTGTCCGGACAGGTGTGGTCGGCAATGCCATCGGAGGCAGGCGGGATTTGCCGTAGAGTATGAGGAAGTGACTTCTCTGGAGATGGTCAGCGTACAGAAAGAGATAGTATTTGATGAACAGGTTTGCAGGGTGAAGTGGGAACACCAGAGATCTGGGTTAGGCATAGATTGCGAATGAAGGTTGAGTACACTGAAGTATACGCCAAAGGCTGAAACTTGATGAACGTTACATCTTACGAAAGCCCAGATCTTAGCGCACGACAACTTTCTCAATATATGAGCTTCTATGTACCCGTCTCCGAGGGATTGATGTCATGGTGTCAAAGTGGTACATTCTTCGCATTGCGATGAGCTGCTGAAGGACGCCGCCGTGCCCTGGTGCAGCTGCTTTCTTCTGTGAGACACAATGAGCTCGTAGGGCTGTTAAGACACCGCAGAAGAGTGCAGACCGCTGGTAATGAGAGAATATCGAGATTCCCCGCTGCCAGGGTCTGGGTGATTGGGAAGGCAGGATGCAGCCGCTCCGCTAAACCATTTATGGTGACTAATTTCCGCTTTTCTCCCGAGCCTGCAACAGCGAACGGAAGGCATCTCTCAGAAGTTGCATAACGGAATTTGGACCGATTCTACATCTCGCCTGCGCGATTGGGGCCAATGCCGCGGCCTGCCGGAATGAGAGCCTTCTTCAAATTGAAAGCAGATGCAGGCCGCCGACCTGACCGCGCAAACCCTCCAAGAGTCATCCCTGCTCACTGCTTTATCGCTTCTATTGGTTCACCCATTCTATTCATCTTTGTTTCTACTTAGCCATGTATACACGTAGCATCCTCTCGGGCTTGCTGCTGGGCGCATTGCCCTTCCAGACTTCGGCCCAAGATGACCCACCAACAGACTGCACTGGTGTCAATAGCATCAGCCCAAAATGCAGCAGTCAAGAATCTGCATACCAGCGAGACTTCTTCTACATCGGTGGCGGCTACGTCGACTCCGGCATTCCGGGCCAGCAGATGTGGAGCGACCAGCTTTATGTCGAAAAGCTGACTCCCGCCAGCAAAGTCAACAAGCCTTACCCGATGGTCTTCGTCTCCGCGGGTGTCAACACGGGCGCAGAATGGCTGAATACGCCAGACAATCGGAAAGGGTGGGCTTCCTACTACCTTGATCAAGGCTACCAGGTCTACATTGTTGACATCGCTGCCAACGGCCGAAGTGGCCAACAGCTTCTCTCGAAGTACCCTTTACGCCTTGGATCTACAGACAAAATCAATGAGCAGGGCTTCACAGCTCCGGAAAACTTCGACCAGTACCCACAGGCAATTGTACATACACAATGGCCTGGCAACGGATCTCGTGGACATGCAGCTTTTGATGCCTTCACTGCCGCCAACGTTCCCATCTCTTCATCGAACGTGAACGTGGAAAGCACTATGCGCACATCTGGATGTCAGCTCCTCAGCATGATCGGCCAGTCATACACCATCTGCCACTCAGCTGGCTGTACGTACACGGCTATCTGGTCGGACGCATGCCCTGATCTGCTGCGTGCCAACATCAACATTGAGCCTGGCAACATCCCACATACTTCTCTGATCGGAAATGCGACTGTTGCTGGCGTCGGTCGTACTGCCGCGCGGCCTTGTGGCCTCACATACACACCGCTGCAATTTGATCCGCCAGTAACGAACTGCTCGACCATTACTACAACTGAGGTCGGCCCAGATGACCCTGCCAAGCGCTCCTGCATTCTGCAGACTGACACCGTTCACAAGCTCACCCAACTCGGCAAAGTGCCCTACATCATGATCACAGGTGAGGCCAGCCCGCACATCACGTACGACCACTGCTTCATCGAGTACTTCAAGCAGATGGGCCTCACCAACTACCAGTGGATCAAACTTGCCGACATTGGTATCAAGGGCAATGGGCACTTCATGTTCCTGGAGAAGAACAACCAGGATATCGCCGCGGCGATCAACTATGGTCTCGAGCAAATGAACGAGAGCCCAGCTGCTCCAGCTCATCCAGGCCTTCCCATCTCTATGAAATGAGGGAGGGAGCTGATGATGACTGCAAATGGCGAATCTGATGTATATAATTTGAAGATCGGCTGCAAAGTAGACCCAGCATACTGCGGTTTTGGCTTTCTGTCACTTCCGAATCGAATGTCGAGAAACTTTATCCGCTCCAAGCCAATGCTTGCGCACTGTACTGGTCGAAGACATGCTTACGGCGTGATGCTAATGCTAACGCTTGCTGTCATCTTATTTAGATTGAGAGCAGGAACCACCCAAGCAACACCCTATCAAGGACCGACGGGCCTTGATAACGTTCATCGTATTTACATGCGCTGCCGCTGGTCCCCTCTTGATTCTGATCTGAGCGTGTGTTTGCGTCACTTCAGCGTTGACTTTCTGCTTTGACGCCTGTTCAAGCTCATCATCTGCCGTGCTTTCCTTCCATATGTCCGCGCGACTCGGCCTTCGAAGGTGGCATTACTGTGATCCCTATGATGTCTCAACAGGACGTTGTTCTTGTCTCCATAGTGCGCGACCCTATTCAGGGCTCGTATGCACTCATTTAGCAGAGACCAATGAGTAATCTTGCTGGACCTTTGAAGATTTCCTGCAGCAACAGAGGAGGCGTTTTATCGGGCGTTGGCCAAAGTCTAGTGCATCAATCATGTTGGTCTCTTCGATGATGAGCGGTATGCCATGGCTGGCCCACGTCTGGTTGAGGGGGTTGGGCACTTGCTGACAAGCGCCTGTCTTGCGCACGCTAGGTGACCGAATCGATAGGGCACGTCTGCCTGCATGGCCGTGATTGGACGCGTTGCGCAATCGAATATTCTGTCCGTGTGCATGATACTGCAAGAGCTTTCCTGCGGTAATCCGGGAAGATCAATACGTCCCATCCATGCTCATGCTCGACTGGAGTGAGGGCGACATTGAAACGTCGGGACTTAAGGACGGGTAGGTAGAGGGAGCAGACATGGAGCGGTCGTGCCACTCGTCGTGTTCCTCTTCCGGCGAGGAGAGCTCAAGCAACTTCTGCGGCGACCCAGCGGAAAGTCCAAGCATAGTGAGCTTCTCTTGCAGTATGCTAATGACAGCAGGATTGCCACCACGAAAGGAGGCCAGGACTTGCGCTAGCGAATGGATCAGATCTCTAGGTCCAACGTCGAAGTGAGATTCGTGGTTGAGCGAAGGCATAATCATCATGACGTCTGCAAGCGAGTTGGCGACATCGAAAAGCTTCGACTCCTGTATACACGTTAGTGACATTCTCTTTTTCTAGCGAGATACTCCATACCATGCCAGGCCCATGCGCCTCAATGCTCTGGCGGGAGAGGCTACTCAGATTGCTGAGGACATTTTGAGCGACTTTGGCGGGAAAACGAAATGAGAATTCCTCATCCTGGCTGGCGCGACTGCTCAGATTCGTTACATTGAGTGCGTGCTGCCACAAGAAGATGCGCATCCATTGTTGCGTCATTGTGATGTCTGCACGCTGGAGCTCGTTTTCGAGGCTGCGGGGGTCCTCATCACTGCTAAGCTGTTGCTGAGCTAATGCAAGGGCATGGCGCGCAGCTGCTGGTTCGGCAGTTATGGTGACATCCAAAATGTTGAACAGCCGGCAAAGCTGAACAAAGGCAGGTGTAACCGATCCATCGTGCAGGTCCTCCAATCGAGGGAGATTAGGGGCGCGCTTGAGTGTTGTCGGCACGTCGTGTTGCAGAGAATGTGCTCGCTCCGTGATGAAGAGGAGCCAGTACACTCTCAACGCATATTGCGTTTGCTCCGCGGTCATGTGTTCGTAGTGGTTCGCCTTGTGCAATCCTATGATGTGGGCTTTGAAGATGGCCTCTCCAAGCAACACTGTGGAAGCATTCATCCTCCCAACGTTTGCTGAGTAGACATGTAGGAAGAAGCTGCTCAGCAAAGAGAACACAGTGACGTTCTCCAGATGATCGCATTCGTTTCTTGCCTTTTTTGCTTCCATCTCAAATGTGCCACTCGAGACGCGGTAGTGACCCTCCAGTGGACTCCCCGAATCGTCCATAGAGAACTGGCTCACTATAGCAGCAGATATCGCAGTGGCTAATGCATAAGCTTCCAAATCATCGGGATGGGTCAGAAGACGTGCTGTCAGAGCCTCTGCGTCGACCACCGGCCATATACCATATCCGCGTGCCGAATAGACATCCAAATATTGCGATAGGCAAGCAATCGATATCCTCTGAGGCTCGTGAGGGGTGGCGGAGAGGGTTGGACTCAAGATATCCGGCCAGGCTTTGGGTTCACCATCGGCCTCGCTCATCAAAGAGATGGGGTCCAGGTAGGTTAGCTCGGTAGATACTGGGCTTCCAGCGTCAAAGCTCGTCTCGCTGTTGCTCCTTGACCCCTCATCATGGGTGCCCTTGCTGCGTTCCTGCAGTCTCCTGATTGCGGCTTCCGTGGTCCGGCGTGGTCCTTTTGGTCCGCTTTTCCCATGCGTTTTCAAGTAGGTGCAGTCCCAGCTAGCGGCTTCGCATCTTGAGCATGGCTGGTTGCCATCACATCGCACTTTCCCTAGACGAAGGGAACGTAATGTCAGTCGTGTCACGAGCGTTGACATGCACCTAACACTCACTGACAGAACAAGGGTCACACGCTCGTCGCGTTCCTTTCCGTGGGGCCATGGCCATTCTGGGGCCAAGGTACTAGCCCGTTTAGATAGACAGCCTTTGCGAGACACGGGAAATCGTCATCTCAACATGACACGGATGGATCGGGATCATGCACCAGACTGGTGGCGTCCTTGTGGGAAGGTGGACTGGAATGTATTTCGGGAGAAAACGATGACTGAACGAAGCACAGAGATATAGAGTCCATACAGAACAATGTCGTAGGGAATGGATGCGGCTGATGCTGGAAACAAAAGGTGGAGATGCGGCTGCAGGTCGGTTGATCCTGCCCACTTGAGGAGGCGACATGAACCAATCAGGGCCAAGTGCCGCCGTTGACCGCTGTGGTGCCCTGAGCCTGCTAATCGTTCCGACAAACAGGCCGAGAAACTATCTTCTAGAAGCCCCATGGAAGGAAACACTCGCCGACCGTGCATGGAAAAGATAAGCGAACTGTTATATGATTCGATTACTGGCCTTCTAGAAGCTTACCGAGCGCGTCGTAGTGTAGTTCCTTTTGAGCATGGCGCTGGACACGGGCCTGCGATGATGAAAATTTTGGTGTTGAGGGTGCAATGCAATGCGCTGTCCCAGCAGATCGACCAGGAATATTCTAAATCGCGCGTCCGCATCCGGCAAAGGTGGTGATTGTTCCCCTGCTGTAAGCCGCAGCATCGCGTCCATGATGCGGCTACGCCCGGTGTTGTGAGTAGAGGCTGTGTGTGAGGCTGACTTGGTGATGGAATGCGCGTACGTGACGTAACCTTGCAATGCGCCATTTCTTAGCGCGCCCGACAGCGGGCGCATCAGCCCTTGGGATCGCGCGCCGAGGTCGAAGACGCGAACTATCCTCGTGCGACTGCGGCCGACTATTGTACAAGACAGCGGCACATCCCATAGCGATCTTTGAAGTCTCCTAACGCTGGTTGTTGAGACCGTGCTTTGTTCCATAGAATTGAGGATCCAGGCTCCGGAAGAAACACGTGAATATAGATGTAGCAGCATTGGGCTGCCCCGCTGATGATGGAGGCTCTAGGCCCGCAAAAAACATGATGTTAACTGTTAGCAGTGAAGTCAGGAGGATTAGGAACGACTGGAGACATGCATCTCGTCACCTCGAGCCACCTCAAACGGTTATACAGAAAGCCTAGACCACTGGTGGCGCTCCCTGCTCACGCGCTGCGACGTCAAGTACGCCACACTACATCACGAAGGCTGGGATCATGCCAAATCTCATTGGAGCCGGCGTTGGAGGCCATCGCATTATTGTCGGCCAACTGGACACAGCAGATTGAACAACAGGGGGGAGTGGTTCAAGACGTGACTCGTCCAGAGTCCTCTTCAGGATGAAATTGCTAGCAACATTGCCCTGGGGAGACTTGCTTTTCCGTTAAGACAAGACGTCGCATCACGTGCGCGTGAAGGACCTACGACGATTACTTTGCCATACCCACGTGGCAAAGTTGCAATGATGCGCAGCAGCGTGCGGAATTTCCGCAAGAACGACGTAGCGCTGATGGTCTAACATGGCTGCGTTCGTAGCCACAGTGAGTCACGAGTGTTGTGCCAAAGAGATCTGGAGCGTGCATAGTGAGGTAGTTTGCTGGTGCGACTGACTTCTGCGGACTTGCACCCGGTGTAGATTTCCAAGGCAGAAGTAGTGCCGTCTTAACTGCCTTGGTATTCTATGAGATCATACGTTCTTCGCCTCGATGAAACCGCGACGCGACCGAATTTCAGCACTGGATGCTACAGCGACGTCATATCTGCCTGGTATCCGAGCCGCGAAGGACAGTACGTCCGTTTCATATGGTAAAATGTCTAGCTCGCATGTGGGCGACTTATCAGAAGTGCTGGCCACACGAAAATCCGGGGAAGATAGATTGCATTCCTCGCTAAACGCTGCGACGCAATTTAGGCATATGAGCGCTATCGCAACGTCCACGGTTGGAGGTTTACATTGGCCCAGATTGTAACATGACGATATCGCTGCTGCGAATACGCAAAGCTTAAAGTGATGGCTGGTGGGCGCAGAGATGCGTGGATTGGACGGGCCTCGGGCAGTTCGGAGTCGCTCAGATAGTCCCAGCTAAATTTGGATTACGACGCAGGACATTTGGATGAGCTTCTCCTCTACAGCGATGTCAGTGGCGCCGTAGATACGAGGCTGTTGCCTATATAAACAGTTGATGCGTGATAACCAAAGCGATATCACTACCCAAGCCGTCAACTTACTCACTCACCTCCAAAAATCTCTGAGATTCCAAACCAACACCTCCATTGATCAAAACCGCATCATCTGTCATCAAACATTAGGATGAAGGTTCTCGTTCTCTTCGCCGCGATCGCTTCTATCGCCCTCGCTGCGCCGAAAGACCCATACCCCGCGCCTTGCGGAAGGTCGGACCCGTCGGGCATTTGCACTACCAAAACGACTTGTTACAAGAAGGGTGGCTTCTACGTTCAGCGCGACTGCAGCTTCTACAATGTGCTCGACATCGGTTGCTGCTACTCAATTCCGGATGAGAAGAAATAAGGTCATGCCAATGCGGCGAGGAGATGGGACCAAAGGAGGTGGTGGTTAGGCATCGAAATGAAGGAACTGGGAGGAGGCTCGAAATATCGCCCATGGGAAAGCTCGAGAGGTGCGAGTCTGCATATGTAAGAAAACGAATTAAGCGCTGTGCAGAACTATCATTCTATCGTAAGCACCTGTGATGTAAGACGTGGAACAGCTAGCGGTAAGCGTTGCGACCTCCCGAGGCTTTGAGCACGCGTGAATGTGGTTCAGATGCCTGGAAGATGGCTTAGTAGCGGTGCGTCGCGCATACCAACGTTATGAAAGAGCCAGTGATTGGCACGATCGGAATCAACGGAGGCGTGGTAAAACGTGACGGGCGGTGGTAAAGTCGAGTCGCGCGTGCGTTGCGCATATGCTGTTGCATGCATCCGAACAGTGTCGCGAAGTCGAGTGAAGGGTCAGGGGAAACGGAAAGAAGCAATGACCGAGGCATCACTAGGTCATGGATGCTTATTCGTCAGTCGGCCGCTACCGGAACGTGATCCCGCATCTCCCCGTTTGTCCACGATGGTCAAAATAGACGAGACTAAAAATTCCTCATCGTTTCTCATGCTCTTTCTGAATCGCCCTGGTTCTGAAATAGACGCCCCACTTTGCTGCGAGGTGTTGGTAATACAACGCCATTGTTCATCTCGTCCCGCCTGTTGAGCGTACCCCACACTATTGTCAACATAACGCCAAGATGGACCCAGATCCAGGTACTGAAAGCTGTTAAGCGCTATCAGAGGCGCGGAAGGCTAGAACCACGTTGCGACGTGAGAGACAAGTACGTCGTCTTGAGATGCGCTTCTCGTCATTGCGCGGACTCGCTGGTGCTCATGAGCCGGTACTCTCATGGTGCATCTGCTGGCCCATGATGACTTCGACTGACGCACCGACGTCCTTGGTCTTCCTTGCTCATCTTTCTTAGGAGTCTCAAGGCTAATATGGCTACTCAATCACTGGACCACCGGGTGTCCACCAATAGGACAGCAGAACCACGAGTTACCTGGGATCAAGACTATCGAGAACGGGAGACCATGGAGACTACAAAGCGCAAGAGGTCGTGTGGTGAGCAAATGGAGGCGCGCAAAAAGACAAGAGTGGATAGTCTGGCTGTGTCAAGGCAGCGATGTCCTCTCATGGAAGTGTTCCACGAATATGGCTTACTGGAGATGATCATATCAAGCCTTTACCCAGACGACCTCATGGCGCTACTTTTATGCTCAAAGACTATGCACAAGACGATACTACCGCAATCCAGTAGCTTGGAGAATTTGCTGGGCAAACTCAAGTGTTCTGGTAGGGGTGTACGGATCCGCAACAAGCGTCACAAGAAGTCGACCTTCTTCGATGCTTATGACTGTACTGAGTACATCAAGTGCGGCGCAAAAGAGTCCGATACGGAGTGTCGACCCTGTTCAAGATGTAAAGTCAGCACCTGCGACGAGTGCCGCATCCACTGCGTCTACCAGAGCATCTACGAGACGCCATGTGATGAAGATGAGCTGCCCAACTTTAGCGGCTTTATCTTGTTATCGCCCTCTGAGATACCTATTCTCAGCCCACATCACATGTCTAGTGATCACTCAGCGCCAGAATGGGAAAGTCCCGCGCATGGTTCCAGTGCACCACATCACGACCAAGGCTACATCGACGTTCCTTTTGAAGAAGATAGTTTCGGTCTACCAGAGTGTGTCGAAGAGCTCTTAGAGTTAGATCTCGGCAGTCACACCTTGGCCGCATCGGCGTCTTCAAACGTCGTGCACCCCTCGCCCGTCCTTCGAGCCTTATACCAAGCAACAGAGCAAAGGAAACGATGGTTCTGCAACGACTGCCTCCCAAAAGACGGTTCGGATAGCCGACGCAGTCTTCAAGACTCTCAGTGTCAGTGCACTTTGCGTAATCGCTTCCTTGACCGCTGGCTATGCCTACGCTGTTACGAGGCGGAAGAAACTGACCTCGATACAATGTTCGCTGAACACAAAGAACATTGCGCCTGTGGGCGACAGGCTGGGAACAAGACCTGCTTGTGGTGTTGGGGAGAGGTGACGCATCCGATGCTCGGATTTGACGTGGTATCGAATGGAGACGCGGAGGAGACCGTTTAGCAAAAGCGCACCACCCCAAGCGCCGCTACTCTTACTGTCGCATGATTTTACGTTATGGGCTGTTTGTATTTGTATTTGTACTGTTTGTAACAATACCCTGTACACTTCCGTAATCTCCAACTTCTGGTTGTCATTTGCTCGTCTAGTCCGGCTTCGATGGTTGCGATTAAGAGTATACCCCATTCACATAAGCACTCGTTGTTACTTGTATGAGAAAGAGCATCAATCACATGCCCAAAAAGGCATGAAACCGTTTTGTGCACTGCGTCCTCTCAGTCCCAGACCCAACTTGATGCACGTCGTGTTTGTCAAAGCACCCTTGCACCAGACGCCGTAGACCCCTTCTAGATATGCAGGTCTGCGCGACATAGCCCACGGATCTCTCAGCGTAGACACTCAATCGTCTTGTCCACCTCCATATAACGAGCCATCTCGTTCAACTGTTGCTTCGCCATGATTGACCCATTTCCAACCACCATCTTCAACCTCTCCTTCTCCTTCTTCAGGTTCCTCTCAATCCTGCGCTTCGCGTCCCTGTGCAACACCAGCTCCCCTCGTGTCTTTTCCAAATCCTCGGTGAGATATGGGAGGCTCGGTTCGTCGCGCTCGCGGCGCACGCTGATTTCAAGGTCGACAGCGATGTTCATGAGGTCGCTGATGCTATCGCTGTGGAAAGCGTAGGTGGCGATGAGGTTGTTTTGGTAGTCTGTCAGGATGGGAGATGGCGGCGGTGATGATTCGGTAGTGGTAAACGATGTCTCGCTCATCTCCGTGTCGCTCCAGATGTCGTCCATTGCTGCTGGGGTGTGCGCGTTGAATTGGTATTATCAAGGTAGGAGAAGTTTTATGTGACGGTTGAAGCCGCAATTTTGACGTTGGTCGGATATATGTTTCAACGTGTGGTGCGTTTGTCTTAGCTTAGTGTGGTGAGTGAATGGTCTGGATTCCGCGGTGAATCAGGATTCGCACCACCGAGACATTGAAGTGACCACGACAAGAAACATAAAGGGTGATCATAGAGGAGAGAGCGTGCAGACGGTGTATAAGGCAACTTGAGATACGACAAGAGAGCGGTCTGGAGATGATTGAAGACTATGTGCTTCCTTGCTACGTCTTGTGGGCCATGCTTGTAGTTGCCCTTCTCTATTCTAATCACTGGAATCGTCGCCTCATTACTAGGGCCGACACGACGAGGATGCAGTGTTGAATTTGGTACAGGCCTTCTAATTCTGGGCCTGCCGATCTGGACCCATGGCCAACTCAACCTTGCAGGGAAGTTGATAATGGTGCAGAGTAAGAGTCTGAGATTGATTCTACTGCCTAGGTACCAACGCTGCTAATAAGGTCTCGTGTAACACAGTCGCGCCAGTATGCGGGGATATGGTCGCGTCGTCCATCCTTGTTGAGCTGCTCGGCCACCTCGACAAACACGTCCTCGACATCCCATCGTACATCGCCTTTCTTCCAGCTTGTGCCGTTTGTCCAATCTACCAAGAGCCCCTGCGACCGTGGAGCGAACATCTTCCCAAGTGTACTGCCACGGCCGGAGGTTTGATCTGCTCAAATATAGGTGCCAATTTGATTGAAGACGATAGGAACACATCGCTGCACCTGGAGACGTTACCAAGAGTACACAGGTAAATGGCAGTGCAAGACTCGATGCGTAGCAGTCCTGGACCAGTGCTCAGGCGACAAGCGCAGCTCCATCGCGTCTGAAGCCGTCCACGATGAACGGACGTCGAGGGCGGTCGGATGTTTTATACCTGTTCCTTGAGCGAAATTTGTCTGGGAGCAATGTCTTGTCTGTCATGGCGCTCGTGGTCATGCATATGGGCAATCTACTCCGCCTCGACCCAGAACAAGATACTACAGTGTTAAAATGTTCTCATTTCCGCAAAGATGAAGACCTTGTGATAGCCACGGAGTGCCAGCGACATCTGGATTTTAGAGAAGGCGTCGCAGAAGTGAACTGGGTTGTGTTTGGCGTAATTGGTGCCGGTATGGAAGTAATCGAGAGCCCAACCACACGCGTTGCAGCACGTCATTAGCGAAAGGTTGGCAGGGCATAGTGTGGTTTCCCAAAGGTTGTTGAGTTCCTCCAGGGTTGGATTGGTGGGGAGGGAATCCTTCTCGAGGGAGCAGCGCACAGCACGAGCGGGGCAAGGCTTGGCGCGTTTGGAGACGCGTCTTCCTCGGTCTGCCATCTCTCATCACTTCACACATCAATCGGCTCCCATCACACCGACCGCTCAGTCAGTCCCTCCTGGATTCACTCCCTGCCCAGCCCTCTATCATGACATCGAATGTCAGCGCCATGGAAATCGACGCATCGAACGCCTCGCACAGCTCGCACGCCGCGCGCCCCTCAACAACTCGCCCTCCCTCGCGACGCCCCGATCCCTGACGGCAATTTCGTAGCCCTCGACGTAGACGGCCGCAAACATCGCATCCGAAAATCCGACCTTATGAGCGTTCCTTACTTCGGCGCTCTGCGGCGGTAATTGGGCTGGAATCGATCTGTTGCCCGACGGCTCGCTCCCCATCGATACGGACCCTGAGATCTGGCCAATACTGTTCACCTATATCAAAAGACCCAGCATATATCCGTTGCTCTGGACGAGGGAGAAGGGCTTCGACTACGTGGGATATAACAAACTTCTGCCTGAGGCCAAGTTCCTTGGTCTCGAAGACTTGGAGCAGTGGATCTTATCTAAGAGGTACAAAGAAGTCATCACTACGAGATTCAAGACCCATATGTTCCCTGGACATAACTATTCAGATGAACATCAGGTCCATAACACATGGCTCGATTCCACCAGAGGTCCAAGGGGACAACTACAGGGGGACGGACAAGGTACAGTGGCGCCAGAAGACGTTGAGCTTGTTTCTTGCTTTGAAGCAAACATTACTAGCCAAGGCGCTTATAAATGTCCAATCGGATCTCATCTTCATGCCGATCTAGATGATTGCATGGAGGCGGGTTGCCCTCTTCCGCCTGACCAAGGGGGCGGACCGTTAGCCGACTATGAGAAGTTACCCACCAGTATCGTTGCCGTGCTTAAGTACATCGACTACCATCCGGAAAGATGTGAGCATGGCTACGTGGGGCCCAATCAAGATAGAAACAACGACGGAATGTGAGTACAGTGTTGTTCTTGTCTTTGCTCTGTGGTGAATGTACGCACACGAGATGGGTGGGAAGACTAGAGACGTACACGGTGTGGATACTAGGGCTTCTTCCCGTCATATCGACCTGGTTGAAGACTCTATACGAGCCTGACCTGTCCAGCCGGCGAGTACGACATGGACTACGACGAAGTTGTAACGGCAAGACAGAGCAACGAATAGTCTACACGACTTGGGAATCATGGTGCGTGAGCACAGCTTAACTAATAGCAATAGAAGGCACAAGTATTTGCTTTCGTGTCGGTGTTGAGCACATCAAGTCGTATATTCTACTGCAAATATCAGTTCGCTCCGTAGATCAACGCATCTACATGCATTCTTCGTCGGCTATTCAATATCTGAAGTCGGCTATTCGTGGTCTTAGGACGTTACGTCTTTGTCAGGCGTTATCAATTTCTGAAGGTTGCCGTTCATGCTCACTAATGCCCCGCTTCTGAAGACACTGGCCTTAAATCAGCTAGGCGTGACCACGGAGATGACTTAGGAAGAAAATGAAACATAATGTCGACACAGGATTGGCAGTACAGGGTAATGCGTGCATGTACATAGCACATACAGCAGCCAGTTCGTGGTGGGCTGTGCTTCATGTCACAATACAAAAGCAGAAGAATATAGAAAGTTTTCAGCTAGGTAAAACTCTCGTGTATTAACCAGCTTTTAGGCCAGATAGGTATCTTCGATCATATAATCGCTCCATACGCACAGCCACTGTTGGCAGCCGCACTCGTAAACATCGACGTATAGCGTAAACCTGCCCACGACTGGATCTAGGTGCGAACATGCGCCTCGACATTGTGGCCAGCGATAGCCTCTTCAGCACCAGCAACACTATGCCTTCGGTCCTTGCCCATGTAGTTGGAGTCTGGAAGCATGTTAAGAATGTCCTCCTGCTTGTCTGTCTTGCGTTGATGGAACCAGAAGAGGATGCCACCGATGAACGCCAGAATAGCAACAGTCGTGTAGTTCCAAACCAACAACGGATCTTCGGACAGTGACACAAACGCCTGACCAAGCGCATTGGAGAAGGCAGACATGAAATGCCAGTACGATGTCACGAGCGACCGCATGTTCTTGGGTGCCTTTGTGAACGCAAACTCGAGTCCAGTAATCGATGTGAAGATTTCGGAGAAACCGACAAGCATGTAGGGCACGGCTTGGGTCCAGACGTTGATCGGGGCTGGGTCGTCGCAGCTGTTCATGTATTCGCCGCAAGGGCCCTCGGCGTAGATGTAATGCTGGATGACGGCAGCGGAAACCATCGCGAAAGATGCAAGGATGAAACCGAAGGCGATGCGCTTAATGGGAGTGAAGCGGATGTTTGCCTTGCGGAGAGCGGGGTAGAGGAAGTTGTCAACGATGGGAATGAAGATGACCAGGGAGATGGGGTTGAGGTTAGTGATGACATCGTTGGGAACACCGTTACGGGTCATTGTAGCGGCCTGAGACGTGAGGTTGTTGTTCATCTGGTTGTAGCTCAACCAGTAAAGAGGAATCCAGGTGAAGCAAGAGCACGCGCGCAGGCCACGAGCAACCTGGTCAACCCAAGCGTCGTCAAACTGCATCCAGGAAGGCTTGTTCGCACCGAGGTGGCTAGGCTTGACGTCCTCCCAGAAACGCTCGCTCTTAAAGTTCTTGCGGGTAGTCGCAGGGTTGAGAGACCACTTGCCCTTAGTAGCGAGCTTCAAGACCTTAAAGGCGCGGATGAGGACGGAACCAGTGGGGGGAGTGCGGATGTACTTGTTTCTGCAGACCCAAAGGACGACAGGGCAGAAGCAGAACATGATGGTGGGTAGCAGCCACGCGCACCAGAAGCCGACGTACTTCTCAACGTAGACCATAGAGATTTGTCCGGTGAGGGAACCAATGTTGATGAACATGTAGAAGTCTGGGAGTATGTTAGTAAATTGCTTACAACATCACATTGGGGACAACATACACAAGAAGATACGAGAGAGCGTGATGTTGGGGTCAGAGATGACGCGCTCGCCAGTCTTGGGGTCCTTGATGACACGGGGCTTGGTTTGGCGGTATTGTTCAGCAATCAAAGGCGAGATATTGGCCTTGAAAGCTCCGGTACCGAAACCGAGGGTGATGACACCAAGGATGAAAGGACCGATGGCATTGCCGCTGGTGAGGACAGCGGGAATGGCGGAGATGATGAGCAGAATGTGACCCAAGATAGAGAAGGCGATGGCGATGAAGATGGTGTTGAAGCGACCAAGGTACTCGTCGGCGATAATGGCACCGATGATGGGTGTGCTGTAAGCCCAGAAAGAGTTGAATTGACCGATACCGAAGGATGCACGCTGTCCCATGCCCAACGCGCCTGGTTGACCCTCTGAGCGAGGGTCCTTGCCAGTGGTTTGTGGAACACCATCAATCACGGGTAGGTCCTGTTGAATGAAGTTGGTGTCTTCGAGATGGTCAGTGGCTTGTTCTTGTGTAGGGACGAGCGACAACATACATAAAACCTGGCACCCGTAGTAACCAAACCGCTCGCAAAGCTCGACGAAAGCGATAGTGAAGGCAGTCCATGGAATCTTTCCAGATACACGGCGGAGTGTCTTCAACTCATCTTCCGTAGGCTCTTCGCCTTCCAAGTCGGCCT